GGAAAGGAATTCCCATTCCTCACATAGCGGATAGGGGATAGTTGCGTGTGTGCGTGCGTGTATAACGTAGTATGTTATGCGTCTACAATACAGAGTAAGAAGAAATTGACTGTCATAGTCGAATGTGAGAAGAGAATTGACTAGATATTACACTCTTCTTTCTAGAAAGCCATATGCCCCTTGCAGGGGAAAAGATGGGATGAACTTGCTTTGTGTAGAAGATTGTAAAATATATTTGTTAAAAAATTTTTATTTTATATAACAGAAAAGAGACATTTTTTAAACTTTTTTTGTTAATAACTTTTTAATGAATAATGAGCGGTTTTAACGAATAACGACGGTTAAAATTTATTTGAGATCATTCACACATGATCTTGATAATACGAATATATGACAAGATCTTTGAAATCGGTGAGATCGTTAGTGTTATGCAGTTTTATCAAAATATTCAATATTGCATTCAAAAACTCTCGGAGCAGCCAACAGAATGCCGATATAATGGAAGTAAAATGGTAAACGAATAGGTAATAATTTAATTGTCTTTTATATCTTGTATCACGATGTTCGAAATTATCAGAGAAAGCGGGGAACCCATTGGTGTTCCAATAATCTGTTTATAAAAGTTTTTGTTGAACGAGAAAACGATCGAATTAAGTATAAATCGAATCGCAATTAAGAATTCTTTCCTAGGTATTTTTATATTGCTCGAACTACAATCCCATCTCTCCATTATTTCCATAATAGCCAAATCTATGGGGACATTAGTACACAGGGAAATGACGTCCAAAGAAACCAGTGAATAATTAGGTTCAAAATGTATTCCATTCCAAGGGGATGCTGGAGCGACAGCCGAACTATAGTTCTTGCTCTATTATATCCTATTATATCGCATGAATGCATTATATATACTCAAATTGTACTTTTCCTGTCATTTCTCTTGTAAGCTTCAAAATCATAATTTGAAGATCTCATGAGGTTCTTATAATTTATTCAAATGTAAGAAAGTACTTTTCCTTTGGACATATACTCGAATTTATTTTTATACAGGTATGTTAAGAAATAACTTATGTAGTAACAGTAGAAAACAGGAAACTATAATTTACAATTTTTAGATTTTTATACAGTGTTTGTACTTTCCCATAGCCATTGCGTTTTTTTTATTCTAGAGATTTTTTATTCTATATAAGGAAAACGAAATGGATGCAAAATACGGAATGAGCGTTCTGTCGATAAGTGTATCCCTTTAAGTTTGACTAAGAGGAAGCTATTTTTTATGTAAAAGCGTGTCTCTGGAATACTACATTTAATCTAATGTAGCAAAAGAGAAAAATTATACCACGGATTATTAATAGAGGAAACAATAATTCTGAAAGAATTACCCAATTTATAAACCTTCAACATACCGTAAGCTTAGGAGTAATGCCGTCAGTAATTTTTTGTAAGTGTGGGCTCGCCTATAAAATCATTTTATTTTTTCATCTCATGAGGAGATTGTGTAAATCTTTTTAATGGCTTAACAGAAATAAGCTTCAATAATGGCTGCGTTCAGCAGAGAAAATTAATCAGCGCTTAGTGATTCTTTAATATTAATTCTTGCATTCTTCTTTAGCTTTTCGCAAAATCTAAGTGTAGAAACCAATCGTATTAAAGAATCACTAAGCACTAATTGAATAGTTTTTTTGCTAAATGCAGCCATTGGCTGTGTTTAGCAGAAAAAACAGCTTTACAGCTGTTGTAAAATTCTTAAATATGATTGGTTTATATATTTAGATCTAATGAGGAACTAAGGGCAAGACCAATTATATTAAAAAATTTTATAACAGTTACAAAGCTATTTTTTCTGTTGAACAGCTATTATTTGTAGATGAGAGGCCTAACATATTTAAAAACAAAATTATTAACAAAGAAAAGCTTGATGAAAATGAGAACACCGCATTTGCAATAAGCATATATATATATATATTTACTCAATACGTATTATATTGACTTTCTGGACAGTTTTGGATTATTTTAAGCCATATTCAATTATTAAACAATTATAATAAAGGTGAGAAGAATAAAATACATTCTTAGCAAACATAGTGATTCTAAATTTTAAGGTAGATAATTTTCTGTCTCGACAGTTTTGTGACAATTCAACCAGAAATGTTTCTTTATAGATTGTAATACATAGATTAATCTAAAAAATTATTTGCATTTTGTAAATGTGTTTGTTAGTCCTATGTTCTCATCAAGATCTTAATATAATGAATTATATGTAAGAATGTATTGAGAAATGAAATGTATACGCTTATTAACTGTGATTTTGTTCTCATTGGTCTTTCTTTGTTAAGTTTTATTTATAAAACTAATTCGGTTAGTTATTAAAAATATCACTATTTATATATATGCTGAACTAATACATACCATGGTCCATCCTTTTGAAAACATAAGCTGTATCACAGATTGCCATGAGAACAATTGAAAAAAATTTCTTGCTATTGAAGAAGAAAGCTTGAGTTTTTTGAAGTCTAGATTCTTACACCAAGTACCCTTATACAATTAGGGAAATTCTACTTCTCATAAAATCTATCAACTACATTACGTCAATCCTCTTTTATCATGGATAATAAATATATTGGCTGTAGAGCTTTTATAATTGCATCGCATATCTCAGGGATAATCTTATTACTATTGAATGAATAAAAAAAGACCACTTCTTTGACCATACACAATCTTTATGAACAAGATATCTGAAATACATTGAGAAAATAATATTAGGATAAACTTTTTATATTGATCAAAAACCTACTGACCAAGAAATTACTTTTAAGCTTTACATGATGAATAATAGTGATCATTACTATTGAATTAGTAAAATAGTGATAATATGCAACAATATTTTTATAACCTTACAATATCAGTATTATTGATCAAATTTGAGCTCAGTTTATGTACATTACAGACTTTACATGGTCAAATAGTACCAACAAATACTAATAATATTATTGACAATGATCTGAATTTCTTTATTCAAGCTTCAAACATCTATGATATAGATATCGTTGTGGTAGAACATATTGATGCTCAAGAATGAAGAAATTTAAATCGCTGTTAATAGTTTCAACATCAAACGTATTAACTACAGATGATTAATAATATAGTGTGTATTTATTGATATTGACCATATAAAGTCTCTATAATATTGTAAACTTACCCTAGAGTAGCAGCCAGTCTCAATTCTGTATGGTAATGAATTCAAGGATGGTAATGAATGTCTCCTGCTATGTTTTAGACAGATAATTTTGTCTTTTCTAAAACTAATTAAACCTATCGGGCATCATTCTTGTATAATGATAAAATTCTTCAATATTCTTGAATTTTTGGAATAACTGTGAGAAGCCTTCAAATTGAAAAAACGGTATTACTGATTGGCAGACGCCGCCATCTAGAAAAAATAAACAAATTATAATGCAACTGCAATCAAAAGCACAAAGATCGTCAAAATTCGGCATTAGATATACTAACTTTTTTCCTTGACCTGTCATAATTTCAATGCACAATATACCATCAAATTATAAGTGTACCACCACTGAACTATATATACACTAAGAAATGGGCATATCAGCCGTGAAGCATAGAAAATTATTGCACCAATTGATCAGCGCCATTTTAATTTAGTCAATATAAGAGCGAATCAAAAGCTTTCAGGTGCTCATGCGCGCTCACGTTTAGTGAGACGCATATGTTAGCAAGATCATCGTGTGTGGAGTTATATTTGGAAGATTACTTTAAAAGATTATAAAATCGCGTGATTGTAAAATGTATAAAGCATCAACATGAAGTGCTATATACCTGGGTGTGAGCAGAGAAGTAAAAAAGGCATTTCATAGGTAAGAATTTTTGTATTAAATGTATCAATTCCTGCAAATGTATTAATGATGTAGGATATGAAAAGTGTTATTAATGTTATTTTATTGAATGTAATAAAATTGAAGTACATTATTTTTGTTTACATATCATTCATGTCTGTATAGATTTCTATACATCGATCGATACATCGATCGCAGCGCGCGCGTAAATGCTTCTGATTCGTTCAAATATCGTCCCAACTAAAATGGCAGCTGATTCGTGGCAATTGTGGCCACGAATTTTCCCGATGCTCATTTCAATGTATATATAGTTCAGTGTGTACCACGCTTGCATAAATATTATAATCAGTAATAACTCTTTTTCTTCTTCCATTCTTTTATATTTTTCAAGAACAAATGCATAACTTAATTACAAATAAACAAGAATAAAGAAGAGATATAAGGTCGCAGTGAAATCACATTAAAAAATATTAAATACATTTTTAAATGAATAAAATGAACTTATCTATTAAAAGAATAAAAGTATGCAATGAACATTTTAAAATATTATACTAATAAAAATTAGCTGGACAAACATAGAATATGTAAACATAGGGCACGTTCAAATCAACAAAGCGGCTGCTCGCTGAGCATATGAATATGATTGATTGTTACTTATAGAGTTAACCAATTAAATTCAATCGTTCAGCGAGCAGACTAGTAGCAAAAAGAAACTTGAGAGATGCCATCCCGGCCTTTTTCCTATTATCGTCGAAATCGCCCTACACTACCGCCAGCACATCCATTTTCAGTTAGGGAAGTATGTGACTGCATACATTTTCTGACACTATCGATAAAGGTTGTGTTCCAATTTCACTGCTAGCGCTAAAAATCTACAGTTTACGTTTACGTATATTGTACATACATTTTTAGCACTGGCAGTAAATTTTGGAACACAGCCAAAATCGTATCGTCGATAGGAGACGTGGTTCATCTCTGTACTAAATCCTCAGGACAGAAGCGTGCCGACTATCCATAAAGTTACTATTCAAAAAGTTATGTGAAAAAGAGCTGCACGCGACACATACCGTCTTGTATGAATCTCTGTAAGATCGGAATCAGACTACACATTGAAGAATGAAATTGAAGATTGATGTTTAACCAATCAAAATAAAAGTCAAAATTTCTTTGTTCTCATTGGTGAAATTTCAATCTTTAATCTTTAATCTCAATCTTCAATGCATAGTCTGATTCCGGCCTAATGGCTCCTGCACACTAGACTTCCTAATGTGTTCATTGGTTATCGCGTCTCATTTTGCACGGCAAGCGTTTCCGCATTCAATGTACAGAAGTCATTAGTCGGCCTCACCTTGCAAAACTTCTAGAAATGATGTAATATTATTTTCGCCGTGCAGCGAAAGTTGGATTGAGTTCAACTTTTGTTGCGTGAAATTAGAGATTATTATTACTTTCGAGCAAGCGAGACGTTGATTGGCTATCGCGCCATAATTAGGAATAAAGAATAAACGATTTCAACTTATCAGAAATCGTGTATTCCGATGTATTCGATTTCTAATAGGTTGAAATCGTTTACTCTTTATTCCTAATTCCTTATTCTTTCTATTATGCTCAGGGCCTAAGCGCTTAGTGAGCTCTTGCATCTGATTAGCATATTCCAGTAGATCTAAAAATATAGATCAAACAGTTACATACAAGAGCTGTGCGGTCGTGCTTCTGGACACACCTCAAGCAGCTAGCCTGCTCGCCAAGCAAATAAACATGATTGGTTGTTAGTTACAGATCCAACCAATTACATTCAATCGCTTGGTGAGCAGGCTAGCCACTTTGTTCAGCTTAAACGCGTCCAATAACACTTTAGATAAGCGCTTAATCTAATTCGAAACAAATTTGCGAAAATACGAATAGCCACATGTAGCTCGTTACAATCATTTTCACGAAATTATTTTCAAATCCTACAGATATACATCTCCAATTGTCTAAATTATTATTTAAATGTGATACTTATGCATCTTCTTGGATTCCATTAACCCCGTATCACATGGGATAAGCAACGTGCAATAAACATATAGGACTCGGTGCTGTAGCGGAAAAATGTAGTAACACTTCGTGTGCATGTTACTCTAAAATTCTGGCGCAAATTTCTTATCGTACTCACGTTCATCGTGATGTATATTAGATTTCGACAATAAACAGTAATTTTTCAATGTTCGCGCAGTATCACCGGAAGCGTACTTTGGTTCGTTTGCCGCCAAACTGCCCTGTGTGCTGCGATGAAGTTGTTTACTTGTCGGCTTTCGGACGTATATACAACGGCTGCAGCGTAGATAATCACAAACGTGCGCGAGTTACACGTTTTATCACGCTGTACCACGGAATCGTCTCTGCGTGCTGATCGAAACCGGTTCGTCGCTTAAACTACTCAAATTTGTGGTGTAAATCATGGCCAAGGTTCAACTGGCTAACGTCGCTGTCTTGGACAATCCTTCGCCGTTTCTGAATCCGTTCCAGTTTGAAGTTACTTTCGAGTGCATCGAAGAATTAAAGGAAGGTACGAATTTTGATTTTGCGAAGATGATTCCGTTCGGTGACGCTGTTAATTTATATTCTATTCGTCTGGCATCTTTGAGTGCGTGTTAATCTTAATAGGTTAATTTTGCAATTGCCATGATGATACAACACTAATGATCGAACTATTCACGAATGTTCTGTAATGTATGTGATTCTAAAACAATTTTTTTTTTACGATGGAAAGATTCATTCCAATATGCTAAAAGTTTTTGTCAATCAAGCTTCTTTACAATTTAATTGTTTCCATTCTTTATATGCATATCTAACATTCTACAATTGGTATCAATTTTTGACACGCGCATGTGTGTGTATGTGTGTGCATATATATATGTGTGTAGAAAAAAGGAAATGTATCGGTAAACAATACTGTACTGACTAAATGGTACTGATATTCTTTAAGATTTGGAATGGAAAATGATATATGTGGGCAGTGCAGAATCTGAGGAGTTTGATCAAGTCCTAGATACTATTTATGTTGGTCCAATTCCTGAAGGAAGACATATGTTTGTATTTCAGGTAAGATATCATGAATTCAGTATGTTTCATATTGTAATTTATCTAATTTAGTAACATTAATAATTAATATTTTCTGATTATTGTTTTCTTCTTCTTGTATCATTAGGCTGATCCACCTGATGTTAGTAGGATTCCAGTCAATGATGCTTTAGGTGTAACCGTTGTATTGCTGACTTGCTCATACAGAGGCCATGAATTTGTTCGCGTGGGTTACTTTATAAATAATGAATACACAGATCCAGAACTCCGTGAGAATCCACCTCCGCAACCACAATTTGATAAAGTTCAGAGAAACATACTAGGTGATAAACCGCGTGTAACTCGATTTAAAATAAATTGGGACGACTGTCCGACTGGAACAACAAACAATCTTCCTGAAAGCATAGATGCACCAGCATTAGAAGATACATCGCAAGATGCACCCACGTCTACACTAGGTTTTACAGAGAACACACAAAATGGTGGAATGGAAGTGATGTGAAAAATGATTTACTGCTGATAATAATTTGATAAATTAGCATTATATAACAATTTAAATGATAAATGTAGTACCTGGAAAGAAGATGAAGATGAAAAAGTACACACTTGATATATATATATAAATACATATATTTAGATAACTCCAAAAAAGCTGCGCAAAATACCCTTTCATATAATTATTGATGTTTTCGTTCCATAAGATCTAAAAAGTTTGTACATTTTGAAAAAGAACCATATGTTGATAATGTGATAAACTTACACTTTATGCCTGAATAAAAGAGAATAATTGTTTTGGATTAATTATTTATGAAATAGTTATTTCAGTTTCAGACAATTATTTCAGTCAAATAGTAATACTTGACTACAACTTACAATTGCTCTAAAATGTTCTACAACCTTATAATTAATAACAATTGTGGCACCAATTGTGCACAAATAGAAATTAAATATAACAAGTAATTATAAATCTTATTGTAATGCAACACAGTAAATTTAAATGTACGCTATATATTATAATTGTTTTAAAGTTAACATTGCTTAAGTAGCTATAATTTGAAGCTTCAAACTAAAAGCTTCAGACTGTGTTTGATATTTTAAGTATTATATCATTATTGCTTATTATAACATCATCAGGTTGTAAGACAGTTTCCATTTTTATTAGTGTATATATATATAGGTACATACTAAGATAAAAAATACATATATTATGTTTTTTACCTGACAAAAAAATGAATTCTCTTTCCCAGTCTCTCTCTTTATAATTTTTTCCATATAAAAATTCAATTCCATAATTCTTAAGTTATGTCGTTTCAAACAGCAATGATTTTCATGCTTCTGTGCATGTAATTTTTTTCCATGTAGTAAAAGTGTACTGTTGAGTTGAAAGTAGATCAGTTTTTTTATTAAAATAAAATCTATGATTATGTTTACGGCATCTTTAAGCGAGTTTAATAACATCCATGATTATGAATGTTATTAAATCAAATTAAGTATATCGTGTAAATGTAATCTGTTTTATTTCAAATTTCAAGGTATTGTTAGGTCAGACACATAAGTTTTTAATAAATGTAAAAAATATTTAAAATAAAATCATGAAATGTAATTAATTCTGATATAGAAAAGTTGTAATAATATAGAAATGTAATTGTGAATTTTTTTGGTAAACTTCCTTTTTGTAGAATTTCTACATTATTTATAAAAGGATTAATTCCTCTTTATTTTGCAA